ATTTATGTACTCAATCCTTATATTTGAGAAAAATTTCTGAACTGAGCTGTTAATTAAGAAATATATATTTCAAGCAAAACCATGGCCGTTCGCAGTAGGTAGGTATCGAACCTACGATGCCTTGGAGAATCTGATTTCTAGTCAGAAGCCTTAACCGACAGACCAAGGCTAAATCTGTTTGAAAGTCGAAATATTCCTGGTGATGTGCCATGCGTTGAAATATAAGGCCATTATATTTTTATAAATTTATGTATTGAATCCCCATATTTGAGATAAATTTCTGGGCTGAGCTGTTAATTAAAAATATATATTTCAAGCAAAACAATGGCCGTTTGCAGTAGGTAGGTTTCGAATCTACGCTGCCATAGAGAATCTGATTTCTAGTCATACGCCTTAACCGACAGACCAAGGCTAAATCTGTTTGAAAGTCGAACTATTTCTGGTGATGTGCCATGCGTTGAAATATAAGTCCATTATATTTTTATAAATTTATGTACTCAATCCTTATATTTGAGAAAAATTTCTGGGCTGAGCTGTTAATTAAAAAATATATATTTCAAGCAAAACAATGGCCGTTCGCAGTAGGTAGGTATCGAACCTACGCTGCCATGGAGAATCTGATTTCTAGTCAGACCCCTTAACCGACAGACCAAGGCTAAATCTGTTTGAAAGTCGAACTATTTCTGGTGATGTTCCATGCGTTGAAATATAAGGCCATTATATTTTTATAAATTTATGTATTGAATCCCCATATTTGAGATAAATTTCTGGGCTGGGCTGTTAATTAAAAAATATATATTTCAAGCAAAACAATGGCCGTTTGCAGTAGGTAGGTTTCGAACCTACGCTGCCATAGAGAATCTGATTTCTAGTCAGATGCCTTAACCGACAGACCAAGGCTAAATCTGTTTGAAAGTCGAACTATTTCTGGTAATGTGCCATGTGCTGAAATATAGGTCCATTATATTTTTAAAAATTTATGTACTCAATCCTTATATTTGAGAAATATTTCTGGGCTGAGCTGTTAATTAAATAATATATATTTCAAGCAAAACAATGGCCGTTTGCAGCAGGTAGGTTTCGAACCTACGCTGCCATGGAGAATCTGATTTCTAGACAGAAGCCTTAACCGACAGACCAAGGCTAAATCTGTTTGAAAGTCGAAATATTTCTGGTGATGTGCCATGCGTTGAAATATAAGGCCAATATATTTTTATAAATTTATGTATTGAATCCCCATATTTGAGAAAAACTTCTGGGCTGAGCTGTTAATTAAAAAATATATATTTCAAGCAAAACAATGGCCGTTTGCAGCAGGTAGGTTTCGAACCTACGATGCCATGGAGAATCTGATTTCTAGTCAGAAGCCTTAACCGACAGACCAAGGCTATATATGTTTGAAAGTCGAACTATTTCTGGTGATGTGCCATGCGTTGAAATATAAGGCTATTATATTTTTATAAATTTATGTATTGAATCAACATATTTGAGAAAAATTTCTGGGCTGATCTGTTAATTAAAAAATATATATTTCAAGTAAAACAATGGCCGTTTGCAGCATATAGGTTTCGAACCTACGCTGCCATGGAGAATCTGATTTCTAGTCAGAAGCCTTAACCGACAGACCAAGGCTAAATCTGTTTGAAAGTTTAACTATTTCTGATTATGTGCCATGCGTTGAAATATAAGTCCATTATATTTTTATAAATTTATGTACTCAATCCTTATATTTGAGAAAAATTTCTGGGCTGAGCTGTTAATTAAAAAATATATATATCAAGCAAAACAATGGCCGTTTGCAGTAGGTAGGTTTCGAACCTACCCTGCCATAGAGAATCTGATTTCTAGTCAGACGCCTTAACCGACAGACCAAGGCTAAATCTGTTTGAAAGTCGAACTATTTCTGGTGATGTGCCATGCTTTGAAATATAGGTCCATTATATTTTTATAAATTTATGTACTCAATCCTTATATTTGAAAAAAATTTTTGGGCTGAGCTGTTAATTAAAAAATATATATATCAAGCAAAACAATGGCCGTTTGCAGTAGGTAGGTTTCGAACCTACCCTGCCATAGAGAATCTAATTTCTAGTCAGACGCCTTAACCGACAGAGCAAGGCTAAATCTGTATGAAAGTCGAACTATTTCTGGTGATGTGCCTTGCGTTGAAATATAAGGCCATTATATTTTTATAAATTTATGTACTTAATCCCCATATCTGAGAAAAATTTCTGGGCTGAGCTGTTAATTAAAAAATATATATTTCAAGCAAAACAATGGCCGTGTGCAGCATATAGGTTTCGAACCTACGCTGCCATGGAGAATCTGATTTCTAGTCAGAAGCATTAACCGACAGACCAAGGCTAAATCTGTTTGAAAGTCGAACTATTTCTGGTGATGTGCCATGCGTTGAAATATAAGGCCATTATATTTTTATAAATTTATGTATTGAATCCCCATATTTGAGAAAAATTTCTGGGCTGAGCTGTTAATTAAAAAATATATATTTCAAGCAAAACAATGGCCGTTTGCAGCAGGTAGGTTTCGAACCTACGCTGCTATGGAGAATCTGATTTCTAGTCAGAAGCCTTAACCGACAGACCAAGGCTAAATCTGTTTGAAAGTCGAACTATTTCTGGTGATGTGCCATGCGTTGAAATATAGGTCCATTATATTTTTGTAAATTTATGTACTCAATCCTTATATTTGAGAAAAATTTCTGGGCTGAGCTGTTAATTAAAAAATATATATTTCAAGCAAAACAATGGCCGTTTGCAGCAGGTAGGTTTCGAACCTATGCTGCCATGGATAATCTGATTTCTAGTCAGAAGCCTTAACCGAGAGACCAAGGCTAAATCTGTTTGAAAGTCGAAATATTTCTGGTGATGTGCCATGCGTTGAAATATAAGGAAATTATATTTTTATAAATTTATGTATTGAATCCCCATATTTGAGAAAAATTTCTGGGCTGAGCTGTTAATTAAGAAATATATATTTCAAGCAAAACAATGGCCGTTTGCAGCAGGTAGGTTTCGAACCTACGCTGCCATGGAGAATCTGATTTCTAGTCAGAAGCCTTAACCGACAGACCAAGGCTAAACCTGTTTGAAAGTCGAAATATTTCTGGTGATGTGCCATGCGTTGAAATATAAGGCTATTATATTTTTATAAATTTATGTATTGAATCCCCATTTTTGAGAAAAATTTCTGGGCTGAGCTGTTAATTAAAAAATATATATTTCAAGCAAAACAATGGCCGTTTGCAGCGGGTAGGTTTCGAACCTACGCTGCCATGGAGAATATGATTTCTAGTCAGAAGCCTTAACAGACAGACCAAGGCTAAATCTGTTTGAAAGTCGAACTATTTCTGGTGATGTGCCATGCGTTGAAATATAAGGCCATTATATTTTTATAAATTTATATATTGAATCCCCATATTTGAGAAAAATTTCTGGGCTGAGCTGTTAATTAAAAAATATATATTTCAAGCAAAACAATGGCCGATTGCAGCATATAGGTTTCGAACCTACGCTGCCATGGAGAATCTGATTTCTAGTCAGAAGCCTTAACCGACAGACCAAGGCTAAATCTGTTTGAAAGTCGAACTATTTCTGATTATATGCCATGTTGAAATATAAGTCCATTATATTTCTATAAATTTATGTACTCAATCCTTATATTTGAGAAAAATTTCTGAACTGAGCTGTTAATTAAGAAATATATATTTCAAGCAAAACCATGGCCGTTCGCAGTAGGTAGGTATCGAACCTACGATGCCTTGGAGAATCTGATTTCTAGTCAGACGCCTTAACCGACAGACCAAGGCTAAATCTGTTTGAAAGTTTAACTATTTCTGATTATGTGCCATGCGTTGAAATATAAGTCCATTATATTTATATATATATATATATATATATATATATATATATATATATATATATATATATATATATATATATATATATATATATATATATATATATATATATATATATAAATTTATGTACTCAATCCTTATATTTGAGAAAAATTTCTAGTCTGAGCTGTTAATTAAAAAATGTATATTTCATGCAAAACAATGGCCGTTTGCAGTAGGTAGGTTTCGAAAATACGCTGCCATAGAGAATCTGATTTCTAGTCAGACGCCTTAACTGACAGACCAATGCTAAATCTGTATGAAAGTCGAACTATTTCTGGTGATGTGCCTTGCGTTGAAATATAAGGCCATTATATTTTTATAAATTTATATACTCAATCCCCATATTTGAGAAAAATTTCTGGGCTGAGCTGTTAATTCAAAAATATATATTTCAAGCAAAACAATTTCTGTTTGCAGTAGGTAGGTTACGAAACTACGCTGCCATGGAGAATCTGATTTCTGGTCAGACGCCCTTATCGACAGACCAGGGCTAAATCTGTCTGAAAGTAGAACTATTTCTGGTGATCTGCCATTTGAAATATAAGGGCATTATATTGTTTTAAAAGTATGCACTCAATCCCCATAATTGACAAAATTTGCTGGACTGTTCTGCTAATTACAAAAATTATATTTCAAGCAAAACAAATGGTCGTTTGCAGTAGGTAGGATTCGAACCTACGCTGCCATGGAGAATCTGATTTCTAGTCAGACGCCTTAACCGAGAGACCAGGGCTAAATCTGTTTGAAAGTAGAACTATTTCTTTTGATATGCCATTTGAAATATAAGAGCATTATATTGTTCTAAATATATGCGCTCAAACCACATATTCGACAAAATTTTCTGGACTGGGCTGCTAATTACAAAAATTATATTTCAAGCAAAACAAATGGTCGTTTGCACTAGGTAGGTTTCGAACCTACGCTGCCATAGAGAATCTGATTTCTAGTCAGAAGCCTTAACCGACAGACCAAGGCTAAATCTGTTTGAAAGTCGAACTATTTCTGATTATGTGCCATGCGTTGAAATATAAGTCCATTATATTTTTATAAATTTATGTACTCAATCCTTATATTTGAGAAGTATTTCTGGGCTGCGCTGTTAATTAAATAATATATATTTCAAGCAAAACAATGGCCGTTTGCAGCAGGTAGGTTTCGAACCTACGCTGCCATGGAGAATCTGATTTCTAGTCAGAAGCCTTAACCGACAGACCAAGGCTAAATCTGTTTGAAAGTCGAAATATTTTTGCTGATGTGCCATGCGTTGAAATATAAGGCCATTATATTTTTATAAATTTATGTATTGAATCCCCATATTTGAGAAAATCTTCTGGGCTGAGCTGTTAATTAAAAAATATATATTTCAAGCAAAACAATGGCCGTTTGCAGCAGGTAGGTTTCGAAACTACGCTGCCATGGAGAATCTGATTTCTAGTCAGAAGCCTTAACCGACAAACCAAGGCTATATCTGTTTGAAAGTCGAACTATTTCTGGTGATGTGCCATGCGTTGAAATATATGGCTATTATATTTTTATAAATTTATGTATTGAATCAACATATTTGAGAAAAATTTCTGGGCTGAGCTGTTAATTAAAAAATATATATTTCAAGCAAAACAATGGCCGTTTGCAGCATATAGGTTTCGAACCTACGCTGCCATGGAGAATCTGATTTCTAGTCAGAAGTCTTAACCGACAGACCAAGGCTAAATCTGTTTGAAAGTCGAACTATTTCTGATTATGTGCCATGCGTTGAAATATAAGTCCATTATATTTTTATAAATTTATGTACTCAATCCTTATATTTGAGAAAAATTTCTGAACTGAGCTGTTAATTAAAAAATATATATTTCAAGCAAAACAATGGCCGTTTGCAGCATATAGGTTTCGAACCTACGCTGCCATGGAGAATCTGATTTCTAGTCCGACGCCTTAACCGACAGACCAAGGCTAAATCTGTTTGAAAGTTTAACTATTTCTGATTATGTGCCATGCGTTGAAATATAAATCCGTTATATTTTTATAAATTTATGTACTCAATCCTTATATTTGAGAAAAATTTCTGGGCTGAGCTGTTAATTAGAAAATATATATATCAAGCAAAAAAATGGCCGTTTGCAGTAGGTAGGTTTCGAACCTACCCTGCCATAGAGAATCTGATTTCTAGTCAGACGCCTTAACCGACAGACCAAGGCTAAATCTGTTTGAAAGTCGAACTATTTCTGGTGATGTGCCATGCTTTGAAATATAGGTCCATTATATTTTTATAAATTTATGTACTCAATCCTTATATTTGAGAAAAATTTCTGGGCTGAGCTGTTAATTAAAAAATATATATATCAAGCAATACAATGGCCGTTTGCAGTAGGTAGGTTTCGAACCTACCCTGCCATAGAGAATCTGATTTCTAGTCAGACGCCTTAACCGACAGACCAAGGCTAAATCTGTATGAAAGTCGAACTATTTCTGGTGATGTGCCTTGCGTTGAAATATAAGGCCATTATATTTTTATAAATTTATGTACTCAATCCCCATATCTGAGAAAAATTTCTGGGCTGAGCTGTTAATTAAAAAATATATATTTCAAGCAAAACAATGGCCGTGTGCAGCATATAAGTTTCGAACCTACGCTGCCATGGAGAATCTGATTTCTAGTCAGAAGCATTAACCGACAGACCAAGGCTAAATCTGTTTGAAAGTCGAACTATTTCTGGTGATGTGCCATGCGTTGAAATATAAGGCCATTATATTTTTATAAATTTATGTATTGAATCCCCATATTTGAGAAAAATTTCTGGGCTGAGCTGTTAATTAAAAAATATATATTTCAAGCAAAACAATGGCCGTTTGCAGCAGGTAGGTTTCGAACCTACGCTGCTATGGAGAATCTGATATCCAGTCAGACGCCTTAACCGACAGACCAATGCTTAATCTGTATGTAAGTCGAACTATTTCTGGTGATGTGCCTTGCGTTGAAATATAAGGCCATTATATTTTTATAAATTTATATACTCAATCCCCATATCTGAGAAAAATTTCTGGGCTGAGCTGTTAATTAAAAAATATATATTTCAAGCAAAACAATGGCCGTTTGCAGCAGGTAGGTTTCGAACCTACGCTGCCATAGAGAATCTGATTTCTAGACAGACGCCTTAACCGACAGACCAATGCTAAATCTGTATGAAAGTCGAACTATTTCTGGTGATGTGCCTTGCGTTGAAATATAAGGCCATTATATTTTTATAAATTTATATACTCAATCCCCATATCTGAGAAAAATTTCTGGCCTGAGCTGTTAATTCAAAAATATATATTTTAAGCAAAACAATTTCTGTTTGCAGTAGGTAGGTTACGAAACTACGCTGCCATGGAGAATCTGATTTCTGGTCAGACGCTCTTATCGACAGACCAGGGCTAAATCTGTCTGAAAGTAGAACTATTTCGGGTGATCTGCCATTTGAAATATAAGGGCATTATATTGTTTTAAAAGTATGCACTCAATCCCCATAATTGACAAAATTTGCTGGACTGTTCTGCTAATTACAAAAATTATATTTCAAGCAAAACAAATGGTCGTTTGCAGTAGGTAGGATTCGAACCTACGCTGCCATGGAGAATCTGATTTCTAGTCAGACGCCTTAACCGAGAGACCAGGGCTAAATCTGTTTGAAAGTAGAACTATTTCTTTTGATATGCCATTTGAAATATAAGAGCATTATATTGTTCTAAATATATGCGCTCAAACCACATATTCGACAAAATTTTCTGGACTGGGCTGCTAATTACAAAAACTATATTTCAAGCAAAACAAATGGTCGTTTGCACTAGGTAGGTTTCGAACCTACGCTGCCATAGAGAATCTGATTTCTAGTCAGAAGCCTTAACCGACAGACCAAGGCTAAATCTGTTTGAAAGTCGAACTATTTCTGATTATGTGCCATGCGTTGAAATATAAGTCCATTATATTTTTATAAATTTATGTACTCAATCCTTATATTTGAGAAATATTTCTGGGCTGAGCTGTTAATTAAATAATATATATTTCAAGCAAAACAATGGCCGTTTGCAGCAGGTAGGTTTCGAACCTACGCTGCCATGGAGAATCTGATTTCTAGTCAGAAGCCTTAACCGACAGACCAAGGCTAAATCTGTTTGAAAGTCGAAATATTTTTGGTGATTGCCATGCGTTGAAATATAAGGCCATTATATTTTTATAAATTTATGTATTGAATCCCCATATTTGAGAAAAACTTCTGGGCTGAGCTGTTAATTAAAAAATATATATTTCAAGCAAAACAATGGCCGTTTGCAGCAGGTAGGTTTCGAACCTACGCTGCCATAGAGAATCTGATTTCTAGTCAGAAGCCTTAACCGACAAACCAAAGCTATATCTGTTTGAAAGTCGAACTATTTCTGGTGATGTGCCATGCGTTGAAATATAAGGCTATTATATTTTTATAAATTTATGTATTGAATCAACATATTTGAGAAAAATTTCTGGGCTGAGCTGTTAACTAAAAAATACATATTTCAAGCAAAACAATGGCCGTTTGCAGCATATAGATTTCGAACCTACGCTGCCATGGAGAATCTGATTTCTAGTCAGAAGCCTTAACCGACAGACCAAGGCTAAATCTGTTTGAAAGTCGAACTATTTCTGATTATGTGCCATGCGTTGAAATATAAGTCCATTATATTTTTATAAATTTATGTACTCAATCCTTATATTTGAGAAAAATTTCTGAACTGAGCTGTTAATTAAAAAATATATATTTCAAGCAAAACCATGGCCGTTCGCAGTAGGTAGGTATCGAACCTACGCTGCCATGGAGAATCTGATTTCTAGTCCGACGCCTTAACCGACAGACCAAGGCTAAATCTGTTTGAAAGTTTAACTATTTCTGATTATGTGCCATGCGTTGAAATATAAGTCCGTTATATTTTTATAAATTTATGTACTCAATCCTTATATTTGAGAAAAATTTCTGGGCTGAGCTGTTAATTAAAAAATATATATATCAAGCAAAACAATGGCCGTTTGCAGTAGGTAGGTTTCGAACCTACCCTGCCATAGAGAGTCTGATTTCTAGTCAGACGCCTTAACCGACAGACCAAGGCTAATTCTGTTTGAAAGTCGAACTATTTCTGGTGATGTGCCATGCTTTGAAATATAGGTCCATTATATTTTTATAAATTTATGTACTCAATCCTTATATTTGAGAAAAATTTCTGGGCTGAGCTGTTAATTAAAAAATATATATATCAAGCAAAACAATGGCCGTTTGCAGTAGGTAGGTTTCGAACCTACCCTGCCATAGAGAATCTGATTTCTAGTCAGACGCCTTAACCGACAGACCAAGGCTAAATCTGTATGAAAGTCGAACTATTTCTGGTGATGTGCCTTGCGTTGAAATATAAGGCCATTATATTTTTATTAATTTATGTACTCAATCCCCATATTTGAGAAAAATTTCTGGGCTGATCTGTTAATTAAAAAATATATATTTCAAGCAAAACAATGGCCGTGTGCAGCATATAAGTTTCGAACCTACGCTGCCATGGAGAATCTGATTTCTAGTCAGAAGCATTAACCGACAGACCAAGGCTAAATCTGTTTGAAAGTCGAACTATTTCTGGTGATGTGCCATGCGTTGAAATATGAGGCCATTATATTTTTATAAATTTATGTATTGAATCCCCATATTTGAGAAAAATTTCTGGGCTGAGCTGTTAATTAAAAAATATATATTTCAAGCAAAACAATGGCCGTTTGCAGCAGGTAGGTTTCGAACCTACGCTGCTATGGAGAATCTGATTTCTAGTCAGAAGCCTTAACCGACAGACCAAGGCTAAATCTGTTTGAAAGTGGAACAATTTCTGGTGATGTGCCATGCGTTGAAATATAGGTCCATTATATTTTTGTAAATTTATGTACTCAATCCTTATATTTGAGAAAAATTTCTGGGCTGAGCTGTTAATTAAAAAATATATATTTCAAGCAAAACAATGGCCGTTTGCAGCAGGTAGGTTTCGAACCTACGCTGCCATGGAGAATCTGATTTCTAGTCAGAAGCATTAACCGACAGACCAAGGCTAAATCTGTTTGA